TCAGTTGCGTGATACTAACTTTTTTGAGGCATTATACAAAAAACAAAAAAAAAACAACAACCAAGAAATCCGTAAATTCTGTTCGATTTGCGAAGTCTGTGATTTCACAAATATTCAAAATGTCATTTTTTAATGCACATCGCGCATGCCTTGTCTTCTTGTCTGAGTAATCTCCTTTATTCAAATCATATCTCCAAAAGACAGTTTTTTCATCGGTGATGTTCTCATCAAATAAAAGAAATTTTCAGTCATAATCTTATTTATCAAGAGGTAATTACAAAAGTCGATTCCGAATCATGGAGTCAATGCATGGTTATGGCGACTCTATCTCACAAATCAAATGTGAGAATGGCATCAGCTGTTAAGAAATGTAAGTGCATCTCGTCTTCAGCTATAGTATAGAATTACAGCGTAAAATCGGTTAATCGAATAGCAACGCTGTCAATATAGCAACATATTTGTCTATTTCCTTATAGGATGTACTGGAAAATGAAAAGATAAGTTTAGATTGGATGTTTAGATATTCCATAATGCAAGATATAGTAAGGGTAAGTGTGATATCGATATGTAACGGTACTCGTGTAGGATATAGTAAGGGTAAGTGTGATATCGTTATGCTATGATATTCTATCATGCAGGATATAGTAAGGGTAAGAGTGATATTGTGATGTTACGATATTTTATTATGCAGGATATAGTAAGGGTAAGTGTGATATCGATATATAACGGTACTCGTGTAGGATATAGTAAGGGTAAGTCTGATATCGTTATTCTATGATATTCTATCATGCAGGATATAGTAAGGGTAAGTGTGATATCGTGATGTTACGATATTTTATTATGCAGGATATAGTAAGGGTAAGTGTGATATCGATATGTAACGGTACTCGTGTAGGATATAGTAAGGGTAAGTGTGATATCGTTATGCTATGATATTCTATCATGCAGGATATAGTAAGGGTAAGTGTGATATCGTGATGTTACGATATTTTATTATGCAGGATATAGTAAGGGTAAGTGTGATATCGATATGTAACGGTACTCTATCGTGTAGGATATAGTAAGGGTAAGTGTGATATCGTTATGCTATGACATTCTATTATGCAGAATAAAGTAATGGAAAGTGTGATATCGTGATGGTACGATATGCTATCATGCAGGATATAGTAAGGGTAAGTGTGATATCGATATGTTACGATATTTTATCATGCAGGATATAGTAAGGGTAAGTGTGTTATCGTGATGTTTTTGATATAGTAAAGAAAAATGTGATATCGTGATGTTTCGATAGTCTATCATGCAGAATATAGTATGTGTAAGTGATATATCGCGATTCAAGATATCTTATCAAGCAAAATCTATAACTGTTACATTATGATAATGGAATGTCCCTTTCCAAGACATTATAGAATCCATTGAGAACAAAAAATTCCTTGTTTCATAATAATTAACCTAATAATGGTTCTCCAATAAGGTGTGGTCGCTTTTTCTTTTAATTTCAGGGAATGATTTATCTGCATGCCAGTGAAATACGTTGCCATGGGAACCTTAAAAGCACAAATTGCGTTGTTGATAGTCGTTTTGTGGTTAAAATAACAGATTTTGGCTTACGGCACTTCCGAGAAGATAACATGGCATCAATCGACGAATTAGATAATACTAATTCATCTAGTCGATGTATGTATTACATTATTTAGGCTTCTCGGACGCACTTATTTCACCAAAGCTGAGGAACATATTTTTGCTTATGTTAAAGGTGCACTCACACCATAGCGATTACTTGTTGCGTATGGTTGTAAATAATGAAAGTGGTTATGACTTCTGAACACAACTCAGTAGCATGAGAGTTGCGTTCGAAACTTATGATCGTTATTCTTATTCACA